AATCATCAGAAGAAAGGATATAATTTTTCCCTTTCCCAAAAAGTGACTATTCACAAAAAATATGAGTGCAATGTTGTAGAAAATATAAGCTCAATGTTATAACTGTGAATATATACAGTGTTAATTTTAAGGAAGAGGATTTTATAGATGACATTCGGACGCGAATCATATAAGAAAACTGAGTTGTTTTATTCGTGCATTACATTGTTCATTACAAGTATTAGAAATTAAAAATTAAAAAAACCGACTTCAAAAACATGCAGATGTCATCACCACATCTTAACCAAATTTATATGGGACCACCCCTGAGGTACCCCCTTACTAGCAAAAAAAATAATCATATAAATCGGACAAGGTAGTAAATCATTATCGCTAAACATACATAAAAAATGAAGAGTTTGAGGATTTTCTCATGGACCCAATTATTAGATTTTGAAAAAAATTATATGGGACTACCCCTAAAGTACCCCCTTTCCAACATAAAAAGAATTATTGAAATCGGACACCGTGTTAAAGAATTATCGCTGAACATACATAAAAAAAAATATCGCGACAAATTGAGAACCTCTTCCTTTTTTGAAGTCGGTTAATAAAAAATATCGCGACGAATTGAAAACCTCCTCCTTTTTTGAAGTCGGATAATAAATAAAATAACAAGGAACTAACAAAACATATTTTTTCTACACTAAGCACTAGTACTAAAAGTGATTTATTTTTATGAGAAAATATAAAAATGTAATTCAAAATGAAGTGTTTATTCAATTAAACTTACAATTAGTCAAACTACAATTATAATAAGAAACTCCATGGCCATTTTTATTGATAGATTTAACAGAATTTATTTTGGTGAAGCTTGTACCAGGGTAGAGAGCAATGTTATCCGCCGAAGTTTTGGACAAAATTTGATCCGCAATGTTCTGTTTCCTTTGTAGCGAGTCTTCTATATAACCCTCTGCTACTGTACTGGACTTCCATCCACCGTGTCTTTTAATTGTAGTAAGACTAGTACCAGAGTTCGCCAACAAACTAACTGAGGAACGTCGAAAACAATGTCCAAGTATAAAGATGGGAATCAGACAAATTTAGAAATTCAGCAATTTTGGCAGGCATCTTACCAAATGTGTTGATTCTAACTGGAGTCCTGGCACATTTTTTTTTAATGCATTTTATAAAAACGCTTGAATGATTAATATCTACTGGACGAAGGGCTATGTACTTTTTATAGTAGTTCATATACAAAGTACCTTACAACAAAGGTGCGTTGCACATTAATTTTTGTGTCTGATATATGCACAACTAGTGAAGTTCTGTAATCCTCGATATTATTTAATGTCAAATCGCAGAGCTTCTCTCGACGACAGGCTTCAAAAACACCAAAAATCGCAGCAACTTTCTGCATTAGATATATTTCATCCGGGGCTTCTGCGAGAAATTTTTCGATTTGTTCGCTTGTCAATACTTTTGACTTTTTCGGTCGATATCCTTCACCCTTTCGCTTCAAAAAAGCCACAAGCTTGTAATATAAGCTTATGTCATGATTATTTATGTTCATCATCGACTTTAACACATAATAATTCGACCAAAGCGTTGACGATTTCCAGTGTCTAGATTTGTTCTAGACACAAAGCTCTCCCATTTATGTAATGTGCGAATGTTCTAACGAAATGTGCAGTAATTTAGACATCTTTAATTGCACTGTAAATAAAATTATGAATAAGTTTCTTGTTCTTATTGTAACCTACTTACTTTTGAATTTTGTTGTTCAGATTGTGAATATTTTTTTTTTGTAATCCTGCTCTTTAATCAGGTTTTCTGTTGAACAGTATATTAAATAAATAAATAAATATTTTGGACTTTTCTTCAAAGTATGCAAGAAGCACTTTTGCACTGGCCTCCTTGCCACTGACATTTTTCTGATCACATCATTTCAAGAAACGATCATATGGAAACTCGTACTGTTGCTTTGACTTACTAGGCAAGAATTTAAAAGCAGCTTTATTGGCAGCTTCTTCAATTTCCGGCGGTAGAAATTCATTTTCGTGATAACTTTCCATCGAGGAACGAAGAAACGAGAAAAAATAATTCGTGATTTATTGACGTTAGTTGTCAACAAAGATAAATATCAACAAATTCGGTTTTTGTTTACCTTGGCAACTTGTTTCATGAATAAATTAGATGAAATTGGATTTAAAACTGATAATCTCGAGGCTATTATTTTATCAATTAATTAATGTAAAATAGGTATGCGTTAATTTGGACTTTGTAACGGTTGGAACCGTTGTTCTTATTTTGACACATTCACCTCTACTCAAATGTCTTCTTCTTTTTTATTCGCCTTGCGAGAATTACTTTTGATTTGGATGTCAACAAATCAAGTTGATTTTAATTCTTAATTGTCTTGGACGTCCGATGTATTAATTGATTTTTAATATTCGTATATTCCGTCTGATTTTTTAGGGTAAGCTTTAATACTAATATATTGTTGAATATATATATTTTATACAAGGATTTTTTAAATAAATTGTCGAGTTCCGACATAACCTCAATACCTATCGACAATGGATAACACGTTTTATATAATTTTATATATTATTTTGTTTGGAATGAGATATTATGCTTTACTATGTTTAAATATGTTAAATAAGATTTTTCCTTTTCATATTCATTTTAGTCTCTGTGAAATTATTCACTTAATAGTTTTAAATTGTTCATTTATTAGTTAAAGACATTTTATCTGGTCCTGTGCAAATTTCCTATTTCTTTTCTTAACATTTTTACCTTTTCCTTTTAGCATGGCTATATCTAGACGGTTTATTTCGAGTTATATCTAAAACAGTTTATGGAGATTTATATCTAAACTGTTTATATCAAAAAGTTTATGGAGATTTATACCTAAAAGTTTGGTACAATCTGAAGACCGAGGTTTGGTTCACCTATAGAAGATCGACACAATATCGTTCAAGTCCAGGATTAAGAATAAGTATCCCGAATCCCTTTGAAGAAGGCCTAGAATACCATGCAAATCACTCATATTACTACCTAATGTTAAAAACAGATAAGTGTTTTCTTTAAATAAATCATCTAAATTTGAATTATGTGATTTACAATTTGTTACTACCTTATCTAAAACTTGGTTTAAATATAATTTGTTAATGGTTAGTGATTTTCTATATTTTTATTACTAATCTAAAGTCAAGTATAGTAGGTTTTAAATATAGTGGTGCCCAACTTCTTTTTCAGAGTAATTCGAATTATTTAATAACCTGACCCACGCCCAAAATCAATAGAGCTTAAACACACTATAACAACTAGATAAAATATCAAGTACCACGTTACAACTTTTAATGATGTTTGTAGAAAAAATAGTGCATAATATACGTGCTAAAAGTGATTTTATTTTGTTTGAAGTGATGGAACACTCCGCCTTCGGCGTCGTGTTCCTTCTCACAAAATAAAATAGCACTTTTAGCACTTATATCATAAATAACTATTTTTCTGTACCCACTTAGATATTAGCTTACCTACGCACAGACTATAAAACGAAAACTTATGCTATTGCGTTTAACTGAACGAATATATTTCATATCCAATCTAGGTTGTGAGAACACTGCAAAAACATTGAATCCACCAATCACAGTTCATATTTTGATCAATCGAATCGATAAATAATAGCATTTGAAAAGTCATAAATAATTTTTAAATTAGTTGGTCGTAGAATAGATATACTGTACAACTCGAGTTAATTATCCATATCCACTCTTGTTGCACAAAATACTATTATTTCCGATATAAATATACATTGTATGTTTTTTCTGAAGTCCAACTCATTTTTTACTAAAAACTTCTTATAGCAAACCCTTTTTTCAATAATGTTATTTTAGTAAAGCCCTTGGGCTTTTCTTGCTCTTGGTTGTGTTTAATGCTTATTTGTAAAAACCCATCTCATCTGCTTTTATACCTAGTTCATGTTGCGGGACCTTGCTCCGCTCGTCCCACAAATATTCACTAATTACATAAAATATTTTTTTTTAAAGTTTGACTTTTCATTTCTTACTTCGTAATTTATTTTATCTGTGTCATATACTTTTTAAAATTTAAATGCCAAATTATTTTATATCCCCCGTAGAACAGTAAGTAAGTTTTTAGTTATGGCTTCTTAAAAGTACTCCAACCCTTGTAAAAGTGGCCAGAGTTGGCCAGAATTCTGCTGCGAAGAAGAAAATCTACAGAGTGATTTTACTTCCCGTTTAGTTTTATACAGTGCCGTTACATATATACATCTTTTGTTTCTTTGAGAGTATAGGTATTGGTCTAAGATCCGAAGTAAGGTCGACCTTTACCCATCTGTTTAATGGATAAAAGTTTCTCTTTATTAAATAAAATATGTTTATAAATATACCGCAAATGGGTTGCCTAAGAAAATACGGTTCAGACTATTTATTTTCTTAAAGTAACAAAAACGACAACCTGTAAAGTATTCCCCAGATGTTTCGACTATGCCCAAACTTTATTCTTCTCCCTGTAGAATGGATTAAAGCTTAAGTTAAAATTTGGTGTTTTTCTCTTCATCCGCTTTTGAGTTATCTACAAAATTCGAAATTTGCGCTTTTCCTCAAATATCTCGAATTGGGTTCATTTTTAGAAAATCATATATAGAGACAAAATAATAGAGAATGACATCATAAGCAACTTTTATCGTGATTCATATACTTTCCTTATCTGTAGGTACACAGAAAGGCAAGTAAAAAATTCTCGTGATTGTATTTTCTTAGACAACCCATTTGCGGTATATTTAATAACATATTTTATTTAATAAAAAAACACTTTTATCCATTAAACAGATGGGCGAAGGTCGACCTTACTTAGGGATCCTGGACTATATGTGATTTACTTATACACGGAAAAAAATAATACGTTCTAATGGAATTGTATATAACTTGACTCAAGCTTGATAATAGCTATAATTTATTAAATCGCGTTAAATTAGAGGCACCACCCACCTTAATTTCTTGGCGTCGCGTCTTCTTCTTCTTTTAGCGGCCTCGGCTCCGTAATACCTGCAACAAATGGAATATCATCAAGATTGTTATCCCTGTCGTAAAATAACATAAAAACGCGGCACCATTTAATATTATGGATTGCTACCCACGCGAAACGACGAGTGGGTGTTTGCAAATGTTTTTCTTCGTTTACCTATCTCCTAAATTTTTGCTTATAGCGGTAGTAAAAAATCGTTTGAAATGCTTAAGATGAACGAGTCAAATGTTTTTGTCCTTCCTACATATTATATACATACAGGGTGGTCCTTAAGTAATTGTACATAGAAGTATGGTAGATTCCTCACTTTAAAATATTACGATTTAAACCAACTTGCTTTAATTAAATGTTGCTAATAAGGAATATACAGGGTGTTAAAGGTAAAATTTTATGATTTCTTTTTTGCAATAACTTTAAGGTTTTTGGATATGTATACATAAAAATTTGGAAATAGAGGTTTTTGGGCACGAAAAATCATAATCTGGTACCTACTTCGATGTAATTTCTAGAAGGCGCTACATAGGCTACATTTGTGGCATAAATGCCCTTTTTGTTGTTTAAGTTAGCGGTATTTTTGTAAAAGAATATTAAAGCCACGTTATTTGAATAAAAGAAAAGTGCATAATTATTATTGAAAACATTTAGAAAACAAATTAAAAAACTAAGCTAAATAACATTATAACTTTATTTGTGTCACATTAAATGTTTGATATGTCCTCCATTCTCGTCGATGCATTTATCTACACGTTCCATAAAAGATCGTCTCATATTAAACAATATCATTGGATCAAAAAAACCCGCTGCTCTTTTTATTTTTTCCCAAAGTTCGTAGCCGGTATTTATGGGATCCTTATAAAGAAGTTGTTTCATTGCACCCCATACACCGAAATCGAGAGGATTCAAGTCTGGACTACGTGCTGGCCAAGGGAAATGGCTAACACGACCAATCCAGTGTTCAGGAAAGTTGTTATTTAAATATGTTTTTACTGCTCTCGTATTATGCACCATCTTGCATGAACCACATATTTTGTCTTATATTCAGTGGCAATTCTTCCAAAAGTTAATGAAATCATTTTGCCAAAAATGTAAGTAGTTCTCACCATTCAAATTACGGGGTAACTCGTATGGTCCTAAGAAATTGTTACCAATGATACCTCACCATAAGTTAATTTTGAATTCATATTGGAAATGTAATAATTGGCATTATTATTTTTAAAATACAAAGAATTTAACAAAAATCCCAAAAATATCTAATATTTTTAATACCTATTAAATTAACACAACATATTTATTAAAACCAAACAATTAGAAATAGTTCATTGCACTAGTAAATTTAAGGACAAATCGTGCAAATAATCATTAAAAATAAATAAGTCGTTTCTTGTAAAATAATCACGTTAAGGTTGATATAAATAGAGAGTCAATCGTTGACACGGGGACTCAAGGGGCGGCCGTTGGGCCAAACCTATGCCCAAAAATGTAACTTAGTAATTATTAGTATTTATTATATATAGTAAAGTGTGTGTGTGTGTAGTGTTTTAGTTTCAAAGGTAATATCTATTTTAGTTTAACATGGTTAAATCTCTTGTTTGGGTTATGTATTTTAAAACAGTTCATTAGTCTTTCTTCAAATGCCAATTCTTTCATTTTCGTCCCAAGTTTACTTATTAAATGTTTATCAGTTTTAAGGGTTTTATCATATAAAGAGTTTTTTTATATTAAAAGGTTTCATTATATCAAAGTTTCATCATAGATTATATTATATTAGCATGGTTTATTATAATAAAGATTTACAATTGTGGGTAGTAATTTTTGCTATGTCTTATTTCAAAAATAGAGATTGTTTTGATTTATTGAAATTGTTAATCATTTTTTTACTTATATTTAAATATACATGTTATTGTTCATTATCCTATTTTATTCTCACCTCTTTCCAAAAACCAGTAAGAAATATTCCGAGCATGTTAAGCCTCGGCGTTCCTACCCTTAAGGACTTGAGAGTCTTAAGTCAGTTGCCAAAACCGCTCGACATATGCTATTAAGGGATGTTTTTTTTTTGTATTTTTATTATTTTCTTTTATTATTTTATTTTGCCACTGGCGAATGGATGTTCCTTCAGGACTCCAGGACCCTAGGGCTGGTGACAAGCGCTGCCTTTATCCCTTAATAGTATAGTAACAGTAGCTAAAGACCTATCAGTAGTTGTAAATGGTCTTTAGGCAAACTGGTTGTTACATTTGGTGACGAGCGTTGGTCTTTAGGATTAACCGGTTGTTACATTTGGTGACGAGCGGTGGTCCTGTAATATTTTACTGGAAGGAAAGGGAGGAGAAAGAAAAAAAAAATTTTAAGGGTGATTTTTTGGAATTTTATTTGGAATTTTCGGGAGAAGTTAAGTGTCTCTCTTAATAATCATATTCACATCTGTAGTTGGTTGAAATCCATTAAAAAAAATAAATAAATTTGTTTAAGGAATAAAAGCTAATGTAAAAATTTTTTTAGAGTTTAATAAAGTTCACTTTCTATATTATATAAACATAGAGGTTACGAATTACGAATTGACATTGAAAATATTCGAACTAACAATAACATGTTTTGATCAATTCATAAATAGTATTTTTTTCGTATAATATAATAGTAATATTCAACAGCTTAAGAAAGAGAAAATAAACAAATGTAGGGAAATTGTAAGTCGTTTCAAAAATAAACATGATATATTAGAAGTACGAAATATTTAAATGTATAGTATTGTGCTGATTTGACAGTTAAATTCTAGAGAATAAACTAGTTCATTATCACATTGGGTAAGGTTAGGACAAATAATGGTATTACTAGATAAATAATAATGCAGTGCATAAATTGTATATAAACAAAGGCGTACATAAAAAGGGGACACTGATAAGAATTGGCATTATTAATTATTTTGTTTACAGGAGTATATAGTTTTTTTAAATAAATTTTGTGAATTAAATGAGTTTTAGTAGAATAAAATTATTAATATAGATAAAGAGTGTTTCAGATAGGAGATTTTCAACAAGCCATGAGATTCAGAAGGAAAGCGACGTGTTCTAGAGACACGAAAAGAAGAAAAAAAAACATACAGGTGTAAGATGTACGAATAAGTACATTCCAAAGGAATTAAACAGGTTTAAATGCCCAAAAGGGCAGATCTTAATTGGAGTGATTATATAATAATATTAATGTTTTTCAAAATGTTTCAGATATTCGACAAGCGAGCTCCAGAAGAAAGTTTTGGGACAATAGATCGACGACATTTTCCGATCAACCCCAAGCGATGTCCTAGAGGGATGGGACAAACAGAAGAAATGAACAGGAGCCACTTAGCGTTCCACAAAGAGGAAATGGTGGACAAATGGATTGATGTATTTTCCAATCAACCCCAAGCGATGTCCTAGAGGGATGGGACAAACAGAAGAAAGAAGAAAAGAATAGGAGCCACTTAGCGTTCCACAAAGAGGAAATGGTGGACAAATGGATCGAGGCATTTTCCGATCAACCCCAAGCGATGTCCCAGAGGGATGGGACAAACAGAAGAAAGAAGAAAAGAATAGGAGCCACTTAGCGTTCCACAAAGAGGAAATGGTGGACAAATGGATCGAGGCATTTTCCGATCAACCCCAAGCGATGTCCCAGAGGAATGGGACAAACAGAAGAAAGAAGAAAAGAGTAGGAGCCACTTAGCGTTCCACAAAGAGAAAATTGTGGACAATTGGATCGAGGCATTTTCCGATCAACCCCAAGCGATGTCCTAGAGGGATGGGACAAACAGAAGAGAGAAGAAAAGAATAGGAGCCACTTAGCGTTCCACAAAGAGGAAACGGTAGAAAAATGGATCGAGGCATTTTCCGATCAACCCCAAGCGATGTTCTAGAGGGATGGAACAAACAGAAGAAAGAAGAAGAGAATAGGAGTCACTTAGCGTTCCACAAAGAGGAAATTGTGGACAATTGGATCGAGGCAATTTTTCGATCAACCAAAAAAAGGGTCCAGGATAGGACACAGACGAGGAACGAGCCACTCTACCAGGAGACAAAACAGAAGCAAGCCGCTCTACCACGAGAGATGCAGCGTTACGAGGAGCCACGGAGCTACCAGGTGAATAGAAGAAGAATTAAAGCGAAATTGAAAAGAAGAGTAAGAAGAGAGTAAAAGTTATAATAGGTAGTATAGTATCACGATATTTACTGGATTAAAAAAAAATAGCAGTTAAAGTAGAAGGTAGCAAATAGTAAATCATATTTTAAATTAATAAGGGGAAAGTTTTAAATTACGAGTAGATTAATAAGGGTAACTATTATTAATATAGAATAAATTAAATTGGGTATAATTTAAAAAAAATGATTATTTCAATCTACGCTTATGTGCTAATAACAAACGGGTGTTTATTACATGAATCGAATTTTGTTTATTTTGTATTGGCCAGCAAAATAGATGAAGAAAATGATTTTTTAATAACATACCAGCTTATATTATTAATTTTGTTTCGAAAACAAAAATGGACAGAAACGCAAATTTATAAGGTTTTATTAGATTAAAAAAATTAATGACAAAAAAAATGCTGGAGATGCGATAATATTCTAGTTCATTAAAAATAAATAAGTCGAATAAGTTAAAACATATTTTGTTTTCGAAATATTAAATGTGCTTTTGGGAAAACTAATATAGGAATTTTAATAATGGTATTATACAAACCTAAAATGTAAATAATGTTTTCATAGGGTAACCAGAAAGAACGTTGCCACTGCACAAGAAAGAAGAAACAGAAGAAAGAAGAGGAGATCAATACCGTACTACCTTTGCCAAATTCACCATGAGCATCAACCCTCAGGAAAATCCATATCCAGGACCGTACCAAGGCATTCCAGGGTCCTATGACGTATTACAGGACTCCAGAGAGGGATCGCTTTTCAACCCAGGGCTACAAAGAGAATGCTACATCCAAGGGACTAGAGAGGATCTATATGGAATGGACTAAGGTTCAATGAAAGAGACCATTCCCAAATACATCCAGGGCAAAGATGTTACAGGGTTCACCAAAAGTTGAGGGGTCAAAAGAATTGTTCAGAGGAGAATCTATCCAGAACGGCTAAGGTTCAAAGAAAGAGCCAGTGACAGATGCATCCGCTGAAGAAAAGCTGACAGGGACATGAGAAAGTAATGGGCCAAATCGAACAACCAGAAGGATCTACCATTGAATAGCTAAGGTTCAATGAAAGAGCTATTCCCAGATAAATCCGGTTAGAGAAAGTGGGCCCACAGAATAATTCATGTCATGACGACCCAGACAACGAAGCCAGAATCGCCAACCAGTACTTGCCAGCCAGTCCGTAGCAGCAGTCTCACAGTAGCAAATCCAGAGAGGCCGTTCAGAGCAGAGAGTCAACCAGAGGACCCAAGGCCGCAGTCTATTAGTAAATGGATAGACTATTACAACAGGACCGTGAAGCAGCCGAGGACCAAACGACTTGATGTGTAACCAATCTATGGAGGTCAAGGAACAGGGGATGATGCAAGGTGACCACCAGAGTGCAAAGGGTAGTTACGGCCAGCGAAGAAGAAGAAAACGCAACTTGTGCAGTGAAGCTAGCGTAAGGTTACCATATATATTGTAGATAATTTTTAAAATTTTTGTAAATTATTTACATTAAGGGTTTTAAAAAGAATTGAACAAGTATAGTTCAATTTTTTTTCTGTCGGGGGAATAATGTAATAATTGGCATTATTATTTTTAAAATACAAAGAATTTAACAAAAATCCCAAAAATATCTAATATTTTTAATACCTATTAAATTAACACAACATATTTATTAAAACCAAACAATTAGAAATAGTTCATTGCACTAGTAAATTTAAGGACAAATCGTGCAAATAATCATTAAAAATAAATAAGTCGTTTCTTGTAAAATAATCACGTTAAGGTTGATATAAATAGAGAATCAATCGTTGACACGGGGACTCAAGGGGCGGCCGTTGGGCCAAACCTATGCCCAAAAATGTAACTTAGTAATTATTAGTATTTATTATATATAGTAAAGTGTGTGTGTAGTGTTTTAGTTTCAAAGGTAATATCTATTTTAGTTTAACATGGTTAAATCTCTTGTTTGGGTTATGTATTTTAAAACAGTTCATTAGTCTTTCTTCAAATGCCAATTCTTTCATTTTTGTCCCAAGTTTACTTATTAAATGTTTATCAGTTTTAAGGGTTTTATCATATAAAGAGTTTTTTTATATTAAAAGGTTTCATTATATCAAAGTTTCATCATAGATTATATTATATTAGCATGGTTTATTATAATAAAGATTTACAATTGTGGGTAGTAATTTTTGCTATGTCTTATTTCAAAAATAGAGATTGTTTTGATTTATTGAAATTGTTAATCATTTTTTTACTTATATTTAAATATACATGTTATTGTTCATTAACCTATTTTATTCTCACCTCTTTCCAAAAACCAGTAAGAAATATTCCGAGCATGTTAAGCCTCGGCGTTCCTACCCTTAAGGACTTGAGAGTCTTAAGTCAGTTGCCAAAACCGCTCGACATATGCTATTAAGGGATGTTTTTTTTTTGTATTTTTATTATTTTCTTTTATTATTTTATTTTGCCACTGGCGAATGGATGTTCCTTCAGGACTCCAGGACCCTAGGGCTGGTGACAAGCGCTGCCTTTATCCCTTAATAGTATAGTAACAGTAGCTAAAGACCTATCAGTAGTTGTAAATGGTCTTTAGGCAAACTGGTTGTTACATTTGGTGACGAGCGTTGGTCTTTAGGATTAACCGGTTGTTACACCTTTCTCATTTACCATAGGGATTTTCAATAGCCCAAAGATGGTTATTCCTTAAACTAAAAATACCACGGCGGGTGAAGGTAGCTTCGTCGGTAAATAATATTTTGTCGACGAAGCTGTGATCAAGATTTTGCTTGTTTCGGATAGCATTTGCAAATTGGTATCTTAACGGCAAATCTCCTGGCAATAAATTTTGTACACCTATGGGTGCTACTTCTCGAGGTGCAGTCTTTTTAAAATAGAAGTTTTACTGATTTATAAAGCAGCAGATAAACTCCGTGTACTAACTTGAGGATCATCTTCAATGCGAACCATTATTTCGTCATCTTTATCAGGCGTAATTATTCTTGGTCGGCCTAAGTGACATTCATCTTTTTTTCCCTGCAACCTTCATATGCAATTAAATAGAGGTATATGGTGTAGTTATATACAAATGTAAATTAAAAACCATTTTAAGTGAACTTAGGAATATAACTTGAAATTTTATTATTTTATTTTCACTTTAAAATTATTATATATTTTCTTTTTGTGCTTTTAAGTGTCCTATTATAACTTGAAATTAATTATTATGGCTATTTTGTTTTCGCTAGTATATTAAAAATAGTAATTTATATTTGTGAATATTTCTATACTTAGTATTGTCTTGTAGAAGGGTTTAACCTGGTTAGACAGTAAACGTATTTTTTTTCAATGTGCCAAGCCTTGAGCTGTGATAAGTTGAAATACCTGCACCAATGTTTTGTAAAACATTTGTATTCTTTGTAGATACCCCAGACTATAGCCAAATGATACTATTATATCATGTATATTTTATATTTCAATTTAAATATTTGTAGTTCTAAATAAAAATAAATATATTAAAGGTTTCACCCTTCAGTTGTAACTTTTATATCTCACAAACTTCTGAGCCCTCGCATGTCCTTCAGTTTGTAATGCAAATGTTTCTCTTAACTGTATCGTGTTTATGTTTTAAGTAGATACTAATTGTATAGTAATTGACAACATGAAAACAACTTACCGGTATTGATTTAAAGCGGCAGGATCACCGTACAGCTCAGATTTCAATACTGCATTCTCAAGAGCTTCATCAAGACTATCTTTACTAGTCCCGTATCTGTATCCCTTTTCATATTCGCTAAGCGTTTTGTCCTCATCAAAGGAGGAACTATCAGGATACCGGAATAAGCTGGATGAGACATTCGGTAATGTATTTCTGTTGATGAAATCCGCTTGCTCCTGTTCCCACTGGAGATCTGGTAGAGATTTTGGCTCCAGATTAGCTCCTAATGGAATAAATTTCATGTTAAAAACATTATGTAAATCTTACCTTTAAGACGTACTAATTAACGCTGGGGTTAAGGGCACTCTAATAAAATAAAAATCACATTTTTAAAAATGTCCAACAATAATAATTACAGTCTGTGAAAAAATTTGTAATTTATAATATAAGTTTGTGAAAATATGCTATTTTGAGTTGTCACATTCGTTTATCATACCAGTGGCGGCGTGTCCTAAGGGACCAAAGGGCCTTGGTATTGGCGCAAAATTTGTAAATATTTCGGTCCCTAAAAATATTTCTTTTTATATTAATTACAATAATTATTATAATTGTCGCATCAAATTATGGCTAAACGATACATTGTATAAATTATTTATTATTATTTAATTTGATGCCGTTGAAAAAACTTGCGTCGTAATATTGCTAGACAACAAATTTAATAATTCAAGCAATTAACTGTCCGCTGTCTATCCGAGCCACATACTTTGATTTTCTTTTACTATACGGAGAATGGTCGCACTGCACAGCTTTCTGAGTGCCTTTTAAAAGGAGATAGAAAACTCCGCCATTTTGAACCCTTATTACGTGTTGCCTACTACTTGGCGCAATATTTTTAATAGGTGCGTTTTAATCATCCGCTTCTGCTTCAGAATTGTCGGTTTTCTTGTTTTAATCTGACGGGTTAAAACGACTAAACCGACAATTCCGGAAGCAGAAGCGGATGATTAAAACGCACCTGATATTTTGCTTGCTGCTGTCAGTGTCAGTGAATATTATTTTTGGAGTCACAGTTTATTGCTAAAGAATCAGTTAGCTCACTCGGACCAGTTGAAAGTTCCAAAATAACATCCACTCCAGGGATACAAATCCAGAATACGCAGAAGACTGCTGTTTTATTATAGGCGGTTGTCATATATTGTATTATCCGAGTTGCGCAGTGTATAAACTGGAACATTGACATCAAAAGTGCCGACGCAGAGTGAGCGATCTGATTATTTAGCTATAAACTGTGTCATAGGGTTCAAAATGGCCGCGCCCTATGTTGGGCGTGTCGGACTTCTCTCTTGCCCCGTATAGTAATCAAAGTATGTGATCCGAGCACATCGACCAGTGGCCCGGCTGTTTACATATCAGTCCATTGTAAAAGTTTACTAAAGGTAACGCCATTCGCCTGTAGAAAGCGCTTTTTATACATTCAAATGGAGCCACGTTTCAAGTGGCTTGGAATGAATAGTTAGAATAGTATTGTTTCAATCGCGTGTTCGGCGAGTTCGGCGTATTGCTTTTAACATTTTATGCGTGCTGAATTTTTGTTAGGTAGTAAGTTAGAACAGTTAAGTTTTTAAAGTATAATAATTTAAAAATCGTCAAAGAGTCTGAAGCAAAATGAATAAAATAAGCAATCTGTTACTGAAACCTTCCTCCACGCACTCGCTCGAGGAAAATGTCCAAATAAAGGAACTTGGCAGACCTCTTCCCGATTTGAAAATAACAAAAACGCAGAAGCCTTCCACCTCAAGTTCGTTAAACTTCAAAGGCCGGATAACAAAGTTTAACCAGAATTTGTACTTAAAAAATAACTGGATTTGTGGATGTTATGAAAAAAACTCATTTTTTGTTTTGTGTATTTTGTTCGGGGGCGATTCTTCGTGGACGATGCATGGTGTAACTGATTTGGTACACATTTATGAGAAAATTAACACACATGAAAACAGTAAGGCCCATGTAAATAATATTTTTAGTTATTCTTTGCTTGGAAAATCAAATATACTGACTCAATTAAATTCGGCTTATAGACAAATTATTACCCACAATAAACAAGTTGATAAAAACATATATTTTAAACATCATTATTAACTGTATTAGATTTTGTGGTGCATTAGAATTTGCATTGCGCGAACATGATGAAACCGAAGAATCTAAAAATAAATTGTTTTGAGAATTGATAGATTTTAGTTCTGAATTAGATGCAGATTTAAAGGAGCATTTCAACAAAGCAACAGTATTTAAAGGGACCTGTAAGACCATACAGAACGAACTATTGGACTGCATGCTTGGCGTTCACCATGAAGAAGTGGCTAAAAAAATAAAAAAAAAAACGAATTATGCAGCTGTGATTGCTGACGAAACTACCTATGTTGCTAACGAATTTCAATTGGTCATTATTCTACGATACATCGCCTCCAGTAAGCCAGCAGAAAGATTTTGGAAATTTGTTAATCCTCTTGGACACAATGCCATTTCAATAGAAAATTGCATTTTAAATGAAATTAATCTATTAATTAATGACACACCAAATAAGTTGATCGCGTAGAGTTACGACGGAGCATCAGTCATGAGCGGAGGTATGAATGGGGTACAAAAAATAATTAAAGATAAATATTCTTTAGCAGATTATGTTCATTAACGTGCACATCAGATTAACCTTATAATGAGCAGTGCAGGTTCAATTAATGCGTCTGTTCGGATTTTTTTCTACATTACCTCAAAGAACAAAAGGATTGGATGATATAGTTAATAGACGATTACCACGCTCATCACAAACAAGATGAAATTTCCAATCACGGGGAGTTAATACAATTTTTGAATAGCGAAATGAACTGAAAATCGTTATGGATATTTTAGAGTACGACAAGGATATTAAATTAAATTCTACGATTGAGCAAGCCGGTGTTTATAAACTTAGGTTACAGGACAGAGATTTCATATTTTGGTTAACAGTTTTTCATAAAGTCATGCCACATGTCGAAATATTTTTTATGCAACTGCAGACGATTAATACCGACCCTATCAAGGCTAAACAATATCTAAAAAACTTTAAATATGCAAGGCACAAAATTCTTAACGAAATGAATAAAATTATTGACAAAATAGACTCGGAGCTTTTAGAAACCGAAGATGAACTTGTTCCTCAGAAAAGGCGACGTTAGCCTCGTTCCGATCTATTTGTTTTAACAAATGGAAAAATAGAAGCCTTGGAAGTTTGCGATTCATTGTACAACAGATTAGGACACGATTCACTTTCACAGGACATTTGATAGCTACAGCATTATTCATGAAAGAACATTTTATCGAAAACAAAAAAACTTTCCTGATCAATTGCTTCCTGATACAGTTAATGCATATCAATTTCTAGAAAAAAAATCGTCTAATAACAGAACTGCAAGTACTTTACAAAAGATAAGAGTTGCAAACCATTTCTATAGCCATTCCTCTATTATCATTAGTTTCGCAGGAAGATATGAAGTACACTTCTCAAAAAAAAAAATTACATTACTGGAAGTTTTAGTGCAACACCTATGTCAAGAACCGAAGCTAAAAGTTGTTTCTCTATGTTAAAGAGAATAAAGACTTTTTTACGCAACTCAATGAAAGAAGAAAGACTATGTGCGCTAGGAATGTTATCAGCTGAAAAAGTGTTTCTAAATAACATTGACGACTTTAATAGACGAGTTATTGATACCTTTTCGCTAATAAAACAGAACGAAGACTAGACTTCAAATATCTTTCAATGTAAAATATTCTTTATTTTACTATATAGGTTTGGAGTGCAATAAATTACTATTCAAAGCTAAATTCTGGTAAGTTTTTTATGTTATTTATTATTTTGTAAAAATGATAAATGCGCACGTTAATATAATTTAAAATATTACCCAAGATATGCTTTTTAACGACTTCGATCAAAATCTGGGCAAGTCACCCGAAAATGTTAATCCGTGGCTTCACCTATGTGCTAAGGCACAGCCGCCACTGTATCATGCAACATTTTATCACACTTAAAATAAAAAACAAATATTTCGTAGGGAAATTTCGAATTATATGTTCACATTTCTAAAATTGTATATGACTTAATTGTTTAAAATATTTAAGCACGTTTGTTGTATGTTAAAAAAAAACTCTGCAAAAAGCTTCCATGTTTTCAAAAAAAAAATATTTGGGCTAATTACAGTATTTTTTTTTGTACAAATAAAAAGTCGTTAATTGTACATTTTTGTATTTACCTCGTTTTATGGCTGTTGGCTTGTTAAAATATGGAATATCTCCATCGCTGCTTTCAGTATTTATTAAATCTGGCGGGTGTGCCCTCTTAACTGAAACAAAAAAAAAATCATTTTAAGCATCCGAAATTTAACTATTGTTTTAAATTTAATCAATCTCTCGAAGCAGCACAAAGGCCCCTTTTGTATTAATAAAATGATCAATCTATAATTAAAACAAGAACAAATCTTAGCACAATTAGTAGATAATTAAGGGTGTAATCACCCATTTCAATTTATATTAATGGAAGCACAAAGCAGAGTGTATAAATCGTTTTAATTTATGGAAATTGCGGTTGAAGTTGATAAATCTATATATAATTAATTACGATTAAAATGATCTATGGATTATCTGCCATCGTATTTTGAGTGGGTAGTTGAAAAAATGTAGCAATAACATTTTATTGATGTGTTTTTAAATGTTTCAGAATAAAATTATTTTACTTGGCGAATATGACATTTATTTCATACTTTGAGTCTGAGAAATGGCTCTTTATATCATTACTTTACTTTTTCAAAAGATACCCAACCAAAAGTAGTTTAAGTGCTCTCAAATTGTTTATGTTACTCTCATCTGAGAGTATTACCCTTGCACGCATTTTTATTTGTAGATTTGCTCCTTTCGCCATAAGTAAGACTATTTTAATTTTTTTTTTTTTTAAACGGGGATGAATAGAGTAGAACCTAGTAAGGAAAATACTGTTACGCTGTTTTTGGTAACTCAATTTATTAATAACTCAACTATTACAATTCAACTCTCAACTACTAACATTAACGTACAACGTCTATTATCAAACTGAGCTTTTGGTATTATCATCTTTCAATACAGCATATGTCTAGATGCCTATCTTCGTTCGACAGACTGTGATTCTTATGTAATATCTCTCTCTCTAGTCTAGACATTTCTAGACTATTCCCTTCTCTTTTTTCATTAGAACTTTCACGTATAACGAGCTCAGCACACTGTCTAGTGATGGGTAACATTGCACTTCTTTTTCTATTCGTACGTTTTCCTATAATAGCCGCAAGCTACTGCAGGATGCAGGGTAATATTGCTCGCCCTTCTCTTATTAATCGTCCCAAGTAACTTAATTACTGGGACCTAGTTGGAGACAACGGAAAAGATCTGGACCACGGTATGGCGCTATCTTTTCAATGTAAACTACCTTGAGTATACTTCCGGCTGACAACTGAATGCGGTAGATTAAGTCGTTTGGCGCTTGGGATTGTACAGCCATACTGGGTCGTTTCTCTTAAAATGTGTCTTTTTTTCATGCATGTCGATTCTAGCTTTAACTATATCGCAGCTGACTTTTATATACGTTCCCAATCGAACCCGTAGAAATGTTCTAATCTTTCTCTTAAGTTCTGTATGTACGCGGGAGGTGTACGGCCCTCTTCGTCACCAGGAGATTTGCAAAAAGAAAATGATGGAGAAGCTTTATCCCCCTTCCAGTAATCATCATAAATGGAATATAACTTGTCGATTTATGTTCAGAACTTTAGTAGTCTAGCAGAAATAGGGGAATTAAAGTCTCTCAATCCTTTGAGAGATACTGGCATATGGTTCTACGATGTTTTTCTACTATTCAGTCGTACTGTGGGTGGAAAGGCGTAGTGCGTGTTTTCCTAATGCCTAACAATTTAATCAATTATTGCCATGATTCGTATTTAAAATTTCGTCTTTTTTCAGAATGCATTTCCAGATACGCCTCGCTGTGATCCTTTATCATAAATGCTTCCGCTACTGTCGTCGCTTTCTGATTAGGAATAGGCGCTATTTCAGGCCACTTTAAAAAATAGTCCATAATAACCACCATCAAGTATTTGTTTCTCTATTCTGTTAAAGAAAGCTTCTTGTTTTGGGTCGTTTTCTGCCATTACATAGTTCAAAATTTATGACACCAATCTTCTACATCCGTCAGCCTTTGACTCAATAAAATCTTTCCTAAACTCATGTCAATGTCCTTTTAATACTAAAGTATTCTCCTGAACGGCTGCCATAAAGCTCCTCCAACACACTTCTGACATGTGATTTCAGCAGTACTACTTGACGGACTACATCTACTCCATCGGGTCTCTCTCACTTCCGGTGCAATAGGCTATTGTAAAGATATAGGGAATCCCACTGAGTGAAGTATCCTTTAATATTTCCACTATATCTGGCTATTTCCTGCCTAGTGGGTCTAACTATTTTTGAGCCTTTTTCGGACAACCTTCAAGTCATTGTCTTCCTTTTGAGCCTTTCTTAGGCTTTCAAGAGTGATTTCGTCTTCGTCATCTTCTTGCTTAATAGTAGCCACCTGAAGAATAATTTCTTCAATCAGTTCCCCTCGTTCTTCAAGTCTTTTACAGTACCGGTATTGATGTACTATTTCGAAATTATATTGTTGCAGTCTTTCTATCCATCTAGCAACTTGTCTCAGGTGTTTTACAAGTATAAGAAATTAAAAATTTAAAAATGGGACCACCCCTTACTAACAAAAAAAGAATCATATAAATCGGACAAGGTAGTAAAGCATTATAGCTAAACATACATAAAAAATGAAGAATTTGAGGTTTTTCTCATGGACCCAATTATTAGATTTTGACCAAATTTATATGGGACCACCCCTGAAGTACCCCCTTTCTAACAAAACAAGAATTATTGAAATCAGACACCGTGTTAAAGAATTATCGCTGAACATAAAAAAAAATATTGCGACGAATTGAGATCCTCTTCCTTTTTTGAAATCGGTTAAAAATTATCAGCCACTGCAAGGTGCTATGGTCACTTCAAATGATAAAACTTTGGTTAAAAAAAGTAAGTATGAAAGTGTTCAAGGGCTTTGACAATAGCTAAAAGTTATTTCATAGTGACTATAATAATAATTTTTCTCAGCTTTTCCCAAGGTCTTACTAAAATACACAATTATTTTCTCTTCCTCTTCCTGTTCTTGGGATAGCATGACGCTTACGCTCCCGAGGGTAAGCTAAAATGGGTGCCGTGGTCAATCGCTTTTTCAACTCGGTGAATGCATTTTGCTGTTTTCAGTTAGTCGATGAAGGGGTTGTTCTTAGTAGGGCGTTTTCTTTAGATTTTGCTCTGATGCTGTGAAACTACTGTATTCCGCACGTTCTTCTAAAAAAAGAATCGGTATCTCTGTGGCTTAGTTCGGCTAGATTTTTGATCTTGAAGTCATTTAATTAATATAGTTGGTGATTTGATATGCATTTTCCAAAAATTGCAGGTTTGCGTTATGCAGCGAATATTCTAGTGTGTTCCATAGTGTTGATCGATGGTGGTTATAGTCATCTCAATTACCACAGTCGTCCCTTTAAGAGGAAGTTCAGAGGTTGAATTATTTCATTGTGTGTTCTTGGTAATTGGAAAAATTAAAGACCGTAATAGGCCTAAATGGCAGAGAGGGACTTAAAGGATTCAAGCAGAACTGGACTTGCAAAAATGGCTCGTACGACAATATATTGTAAGGAATATGATGGTGGTTCTCTGTAATATGATATGCTCTGCATACTTAAGACTTTATTTATGCGATATTTCGACGGGATCCATTATGATGGCTTGTTGATGTTACGAATATGTGCTTAAGACAGTAAAACCGAAAGCATTCAGTATTGAGTACGTCAGTGTTACGTCGTTAATTTTAGTACGTTTTTGTTAACAATAGTCAATTCAATACCATTTTTAGTACTATTTGGACATTTTTTGAAGAAAGTGATGTATTTTACCAACAAAATAGTCAATTCTGTACCATTTTCAGTACTATTTTGAAATTTGTTTTTCGAACAAAATGACGATGGATGATAGTTAAGTCATGTAATGTGGATGAGTCAAATAATTTATTTGAAATTTAAATTTATTGCACGGTTTGTTGGCTGTAATTCGGAAAGTAAAATGGTTAAGACCTTTTTTGTTATACATAAAGATTATATAATTTAATAAAAGTGTAATATTACAAGGAAATCATTTTTATTTCTCATATGTTAGGGAACGCCGCCACTGGCAGAATTTAGCGGACCGATGAGCGGCCTGTCCTTATCGGGTTGATAAGAAATAAATTCTTGGGAAGATTGGTAATTGATTATTTTTGTACTGAAGTAAAACGTGTTAAAAATATAAAAGTGTTGAATATTTTCAACTGCGTTGTTTTATTTTTGAAAAGGACATTACAAGTCAGAAGTGCGGATTACATACGTCTAACAATGGGAAAATCCAAGAAAAGAAGTCGACGATATAGTAGTTCCTCTAGTTCTTCGAGTGAAAGTGATAGTGGGTCACGAAAAATGAGGAAACAGGTGAAAAAGTTAAAAAAACAATTAAAAGAAAAAGATAAATTACTAGGAAAACAAACTGTAAGTACGTCTTTACACATTGATGAATCGCTAATACCAATTTTTGATCCATCTTATGAAAATACTTCGGCTACGGAGTGGACAAATAAAGTAGATCAGTTGTGCAATATTTATAAATGGGACGATAAATTGACCACAAAGTTGACAACGTCTAGACTTAGGGGTAATGCTAGGCGATGGTATGAATCATTGAAAGAACAAATTAAAAATTGGAAAAACATAAAAATTTTATTGTTGGAGACATTTCCTAGTGTTATTAAGTTCGGGAAATTGTTTGTAGAAGCCGCTAATTATGTTCACTCGCCCAACCAAAAACTTAGTGACTATTGCTTTGAAAAATTAGCGCGATTACGTAAATTAAATTTACAAATAAATGAAGAAAATGTTATTGACTGTATTATCGAGGGTATTGTTACCATTACTGAGAACATTAAATTATCTGCTAGGGCAGCAAATTTTAAATCTATAGGATTATTAGGTAATTACCTAGATCATGCAAATCAAAATTATATTTCAGTTCCCAAAAAAAATATTTTCAATACCAATACTCCCGGAACATCTAAAATAATAAAACCTGAGCTAAAACATGACACTAAAGATGAAATGTGTAAACTAAAGCCTTCATATGGTAAGGGAAAGACTTGTTTTAATTGTAAAGGACCTCATCTAATTAAAGATTGTCCTAAATCTATTGCGAAATG